ATATATATATATATATATGTATGTATGTATATAGCATTAGCACTAACAAATAGAAATGTCCATAATTGGCTTGATTTTCTGCAGGGACATACCTCTTCACAGTGGGTCTGATTTACGTACGTTCTTACCTTTCAGGGGAAACTGACTCTGCTCTGTGATGCCAAGACCGACGGCAGCTTCCTTGTGCATCACTTCCTTTCCTTCTACCTCAAAGGTAGGCAGCTCCCTGATGCTATAGAGAAGGAAACTCAGGTCTGAGAGATGGCTCGGAGGTTAAGATTGCTGGCTACTCTCTCAGAGGACCCAGGTTTGATTCCTAGCACCCAGTAATGGCTCATAACCATCTGTGACTTCAAATAAAACAAAAATTAGTAATTGTTCAGCTAGACATGGTGGCACATGCTTTTAGAACTAGTTCTTGGGAGGTAGGACAGCCAGGGCCGTATAGAGAAATTCGTCCCAAATAAGCAAACAAACAAACACAAGAAAAGGAAACCCAGGGGCTAGAGAGATGGCTCAGAGGTTACGAGCACTGGCTGCTCTTCCAGAGGTCCTGAGTTCAATTCCCAGCTACCACATGGTAACTCATAACTATCTATAGTGAGATCTGCTGCCCTCTTCTGTTATGGAGCCTGTCCTGGAACTCACTCTTGTAGACCAGGCTGGCCTTGAACTCACAGAGATCCGCCTGCCTCTGCCTCCCAAGTGTTGGGATTAAAGGCCTGTGCCACCACCCCCCAGCCTTGTGGAGGTATTATTGTGAATCTTAGTCTCCTGTAGCCCAGGCTAGGCTTTGACTTGCTATATAGGGGAGGATGACCCAGAATTTCAGGTCCTCCTTTCTCCACCTTGAAAGTCCTAGAATTACAGATGTTTCCCCCATGCCTGGTTTTATTCAGTGCTGGGCGTCCAGCTCACTGTTTCGTGGATGCTAGGTAAGCGCGTTATCAGCTTAGCTACATCCGCAGCACAACACCCGTTCACTGTTGGCTGCTCCCTGAGGATGCACTTGCCGGCCATGATATGGGGTAGACCTGTAGTATGCCTTGCTGTACTCATTTACAGCTTTGAAGTAATTTTGTTTTTTCATATGATTTGATTTTTCTATTCTATATCATAGAAAAACAAAATAGTTTATGGATAAATTATTAGAATGAATACGGCTCAGTTAAGTAGCTGGAGTTTCTTACAGTTTAATACCTTGTCATATGTCACTGTTTATCCATTGTATTCCTGTATACACAACAAAATTGGAGAAGAGACACAATTTACAAGAGAATAAAGTTAAGTACCTAGGCGCTATGGAAATAGTACATTTGGTAAAATGCCTGCCACCCAAGCGTGAGGACCTGAGTCCCCTTCTCCAGAACTTCCATCAAAGCTGTTTGTGGTGCAGATCTGTAAGCATAGCACTGGGGGTTGGGGGGGGGGCAGGGGAAGAGTGGGGCAGATCCTGGAAGCTCAGCAACCGTCCAGCCTAGCCAGTCAGTGAGCTCCAGATCCAGTTAGAGACCCTGTCTCCAAAAATAGATGGGAACAGCTGAACAGGCCACCTGATGCTGATCTTTGGCCTCCACACATGCACATACACATATACGTGCTTCAGAGCCAGGGCTATAACTCAGTTGGTAAAAAGCATGGCCTGATGACCTCCTGAGCTCAATCCCTAGGGCCCACGTGGTGGGAGGGAAGAATAATTCCCATACGCCCTCTTCTGTCTTCTGTATCCACCCTGGTACATGTATACAGCCCACAGATAGATAGATAAGTAAATAACCACGCAAAGTGTGGAGATGTAATTTAGCGTACTAGAAAACAAAAGGAATAAAGTACATTTTGGCTTGGTAAGATGGTTCCGCAGGTAAAAGTACTTGTTCCACAAGTTTGCACCCTGGCTTCAATGTTTGGACCCATGTGAAGGTTTGGAAGGAGAGAACGAACTCCTCAAAGCTGTTCTCTGACTTCTATGCTTATACACATCATGCAGACACACAACAGGAATTTTTTATGCATCTTAGGGACTTGGGGTTGTAGCTCAGTTTATAGACAGTTTGCTTAATATATGTGAAGCCTGGAGTTGAATTCCCAGCACCATATAAACCAAGTGTGGTAGCTTAAGCTACTAATCCAAGCATTCAGGAGTTATAGGCCAGAGAATTAAGAGTTCAAGGTTGACCTGGGGAAATGGCTTAGTGTTAAAAGTACTGTCTGGTTTTCCAGAGAATCCAGGTTTTACTTCCAGCGCCCACATAATGACTCACAAGTGTGTAACTTCAGTTCTAGGGCATCTGTTGCCCTCTTCTAATCAATAAGGACACCAGACATACTTAGTGCATACAAGCATGCATTCAGGTCAAACATCCTATACATAATATTAAAACATAAATAGAACTGGGTGGTAGTGGCGCATGCCTTTCCCAGTGCTTGGGGAGGCAGAGGCCAGTGAATCTCTGTGAGTTTGGGGCCAGCCTGGTCTATGTAGATAGTTCCAGGACAACTATAGCTGCATAGTGAGACCCTGTCTTTAAAAACCAAAAGAAAGCAAATAGAGTTCAAGGTCATCCTGGGTTATATAGGGAGTTGAAGACCAGCATTTGTTACAGAAGACTCTATCTCAAAATAAAGAGGAGTGTGGTGGTTTGAATAGGTGTGACCCTGTTTGAAAGCTTGATCTGTAGGGAGTGGCGCTATTAGGAGGTGTGGCCTTGTTGAAGGGAGTGTGTCACCTCCTGAGGGGGCAGGCTTTGAGGTCTCATATATGCCCAAGCCATATAGTGTGGGACACAGTTTACTCTTGGTTGCTTGTGAATCAAGAGTCACAAGAATTCTCATCACCAAGTCTGCCTACATGCTGCCTTGCTTCCCGCCACAATAGTGGGCTAAACTTCTGAAACTGCTAGCCAGCCGCAATGAGTTTTCTTTATAAGAGTGCCGTGGTGAGTTCGAGGCCAACCTGGTCTACAGAGCTAGTTCCGGGACAGGCTCTAAAGCTACAGAGAAACCCTGTCTTGGGGGAAGAAAAGTGCCATGGTCATGGTGTCTCTTCACAGCAGTAGAAACCCTAACTGAGACAAGTGGGGAGGTGCACTGTAGACTGACATCAGGCACCATCGTATCAGGGTACAAGGTCTCTGGGTGTTGCCCAGACCTCCCTTACTGCTTCCGTCTCCAGAAGAATGAATTGTTCCTGTCTGGTCATAAGCAGAGGATTTGTTTAAGAAGTCAATGTATTTTGTTTTCTAGCCAATTGTAAAGTATGCTTTGTGGCACTCGTCCAGTCCTTCAGCCACTATAATATTGTGGGGCAGAAGCTGGTAAGTATTGCAGCCCTCTCTGGTGACATCCCTGTGTAAGAGCATGCGCTACACACAGGCTAAGGCTGGGCTTTTCACTTTCCCTAGTGGAGAACCTAGGACAAAGGAAATCTTGGGACCCTGAACCCCTTATCTAAAGGATTAAAGCAAAATCTGGGCATGCTTTGTAGGAAACATAGAGAATCAGACCTAGTGTTTGTAGATGATAGTCAATCAAACCCTTCATTGGTTGTGGCCAGTTAAGGTTTTCTTGCCTAGCTGAATGTGGTAGCCTGTGATTCTAATCCCAGCACTAGAGAGTCAGAGGCAGAAGGAGCTCTGTAAATTCAAGCCCAGTCTAGTCTACATAGTGAGTTCCATTCCAGTCAGGACTGCATTGTAAGACCCTCTCTAAAAAAAAAAAAACGACGAGCAGTGGTAGCACATGCCCTTAATCCCCGCCCCTGGGAGGTAGAGGCAGGTGGATCTCTGTAAGTTTAAGGCCAGCCTGACCTACAGAGTGATTTCCAGGTCAGGACTGTCCCACAGAGAAAACCCTGTCTCGAAAACCAAGGTTGTTTCTCCTAGCATGCACCAAGCCTGAGTTTCAATCCTCAGCACCTTGTAAACTGGTAGCGTATACCTGTTATCCCAGAACTCAGGAAGTAGAGGCAGGGGGATCGAAAGTTCAGGGCTGGGACTGCAGAGATGGAATAGTGGCTAAGAGCACTTAGTGCTGTTGCGGAGGACCCGAGTTCGGCTCCCAGCACCCTGTCAGGCAGCTCATGACCTCTGAGGCCCTGCACTTGCATGCCAGTCACATACACGCAATTAAAACGTGAAAATAAACCTGAAAGGAAAGAGAGAAAGAAAGCCAGACTTGGTGGTGCACGTCTTTAATCCCAGCACTCGGGAGGCAGAGGCAGGTGAATCCATGTGAGTTTGAGGCCATCCAGGTCTACAGAATGTATTCCATGACAGCTAGGGTTACACAGAGAAACCCTGTCTCAGAAAAAAAAAAAAAATCCAAGGTTATCATGCGTACAACATTGTAAGTCAGGGTCTGCTTGGGATATACGAATCCTTGTCGTGAGCATCTGAGAGCAGACAGGGATGGCGGGAGCACTTCAGCGGGCTTGGGATGTCTCCTACCCTCTTATTAGCTGGTGTGTAGTTTCCCTTAAAGGTTCCCCGCAGGGCACAGCACTTCACTCCATTTCTCGTTCCATTTAGGGTGTCAGCCTGACAGCAGCACGGGAAAGCGGGCAGCTTGTGTTCCTGGAGGGCCTCAAGTCCACAGTGGACATCTTCTTCCACACTCCGGAGGAGCCTCAACCCCTGCAGTTTCTCAGGTCAGACCGCACAGCTGGTCGGTGGGACCAGAGGGGGCAGCTGTGTGTGGGAAGGCAGGAGTGGTCCCCAGAGCTATAGCAAGTCATTCACAGTGAGTGTGGCACAGTGAAAGGCTTTGCTGTTTCTCTGTGGTGACTCAGGCCCCTAGTGCGACTCCCTTGCTTTTTTGTGCCCTTATGTAGAAACTAAGGGTTATGGGCTAGTGACCAGTATTGATAAATACAATTTTATTGGAACATAGCCATTTTGTTTGTTAGCCTATTGTCCCTGGCTGTTCGGCTTTCTAGCAACAGAGTGGGTAGCTGAGGCAGAAGGAGTGACCTGCAAGTCTAAAGATCTCTGATGTGATTCTAACAACCGAAAATTGTTGCCTTCTCGTTTGGTTTTCGCCGTCACAGGTCTAACTGGCTGTGCCGCGCTTTTCAGCCCTTCTCAACATCAGCCCTGATTTGGCTGCTGTTTTTTTTTCTTTCACAAAGGAGTCCCCACTGCCCTGCTCTTTCAGATAGACCCTTACGCAGTAGCTAGAATGCTCCGTGTGTGCATGTGTGCGCGCGCATGAGCACACGCACGTGTGACATCTTCCCTTGCACCCTGACCTTGGTTTTATTCTCCGGCTGCAGCGGCTTGTTAGACCTGATCCCAATGTGTAGGGAGCTGTTCTCCTTCGGAGTAAGGCTAGCCCAGTGCCAAGGGAGAGGGTGGTCGCCCGGGGCACTATGCTCCATTCCTCCTCCCCCTGCCGGGAAATGACTGCTTGCAATATCCCTGGGGAAGGTGGAGGTGGGTTGGTCCCTATGTGTCAGAAACACGTATCCCAGCAGCCTGTAGACACCTGAAGTGCTGTGTCACTTCCTCCGGCACCTCAGGGTCTCCTGGGACGCCTTTCTGGCTTGCCCCATCTGACTTATTCTTCTAGGTGCCATAGCTCCTGGGGGGGGGCGGGGAGGAGGCTGTATGTATGGTTCTCTTTTACTTTACATCCCTCTTGTGAGATAGTCCACGGTCTTCCCCAGGCTGGCCTCCAGCTTGCTGTTGTTCCGCTTCTATAGTAGTTGGGGTAGGCATGAATCACCATGCCAGGTTTCTGTGATATCTCTTCAGGGCCCCAATTTTTGTTCATTTTTTGTAGCTCCTAAATTTTACCTTTGTACCCCATAGGCCTCAGAAAATACTTGAACTGGAGTAAAGTAAAACTTACTCATGTCTCTGTGTGTGTGTGTGTGTATGTGTGTGTGTGTGTGCGTGTTCTTTTCAAGTTCCTTGCCTCCTCTAGCCTTCCTTGGTGCTACTTTGTCCCAGATAAACATCTGTAGAGCCAGGCATGGTGGCACATGCCCACAATCCTAGCACTTGGAAGGTAGACAATAGGATAGTGAACTCCAGGTCAGTTCTACAGTGACACTCTATGAGAAGAAGAGAAGGACTGGGGCTGTAGTTAGGTTGACAGACTTTCCTTAGTGCGCGGAGAGCCCCGTGTGTGACCCAGCTCTGTGTAAAGCCAGGGGTCCTGTATGTGAGGAAGCACTCAGGAGTGGAAAGAGGAAAATGAGAAAATCGAGGTCACTACATAGTGAGTTCAAGGCCAGCCTGGGGTTCATGAGACAGTCTCAAAATAAAATAAAGCATCCGTTGAGTGAGCACTGGTGACTTTTTCCCTGTGTCTCTAGGGAGGCCAGCGCGGGGAACCTCCAGACACTGTATGAGTTTGTGCAGGACACTCTGAAGCCCGTGGACAGTGGGGAGACTCCATGGAAGTACCCAGTGCTGTTGGTGGACAACCTCAGTGTGCTGCTGAGCCTGGGCCTGGGGGCGGTCACTGTGCTGGACTTCATGCAGTACTGCAGGGCCACGGTTTGCTGCAAATGGAAGGTATCGAGGGGCTGCCATTGCTGTTCTGCTTGGTCTCTGAGAACCCAGACTTGTGTGCTGTGCTTTCTCTGTCTGTTTGCTTCGAGATTAGCTTTCCTCTGGCAGACCCAGAAATTCTTTGTTTCACCCATCCTGCATTGCTAAATAATAAACTCCTCAAAATTAAAGGTTGACCCAGCACAGTAGGGCAGTGCTTAGTCCTTGCCTGAGTGCCCTGTGGGTCCTTCCTTAGTAGAGAGTTTTGAGGATCAGTTAAAGTAATGACTACAAACTCCATTATATTTTCTTTCCTCCTGGGTTCTGGGGATCTAGATCCTTTCGCTGAATCCCTTTAACAGTGGTGAAGTGGGCTGGGGCTATAGCTCAGTTGGTAGTGTGCTTGCGTAGCAGGAAACCCTGGGTTTGATCAATAGCACGGTATAAACTAGGCATGGTGGTTTCTGACTGTACCTCAGCACTTGGGAGGCAGAGGCAGGAGGATCAGAAGTTCAAACTCCCCTTCAGCTACATAGTAAGTTCCAGCTAACCTGTGGTACATGAAGTTTGAAAAGGTAAAATGCAACTTTTTGTAAACATGGTGTCACAGATCTGTAATCCCAGCACTTGGGAGGTTGTGGGAGAAGGATTGTGAGTTTGAGGCCAGGCAAAAGCCTAGTGACCTAAATTTGAGCCCCAGAACCCACATAAAGGTGGAAGAAGAGAGCACACTTCACGAAACTGTCGTCTAACCCCCACGCGTGCACAGTGTATGTGCCGTATCCTCTCACACAACCCCCACAGTCTAATAAAAAAAACTGTAAGAAGAAAGCGAGGCAGTTGAGTGAGAGGCTGAACGTGGCATATGTCTATAATCCTCAGTCTTGAAGCTCCAGGCCAGCCAGGACTGTGGAGCAAGACCATGTCTCATGAGCAAACAAAAACCAGACATTCAATGGAGTGAAGCTTGGTGTCTAGTGCGGTGTCTGGCCCACAACAGCCACTGTTCAGTGAGCGATGACTGGGCCTATAGGAATGTGTGGACATTGTGTGGAAAGGCCAGACTCAGAGTGTAGAACAGTGACAGAGGGAAGTTAAGTGAACTAGCAGGGGTGTGGCCAGTCATGTGACTGCGTGCACAGTCCTGCCTGGAAGCTGAGTTCTAGGAACTGCTGAGACTATCTTGGCTACAGGTTAATGCAGAGAGGGGGTGGGGTGCTGAGCGTCATCTTAGAAGGACGGAGGGGCAAGGGACTTGGAGATCATCTATTTGGCCAGACAGGGATTCATTTCCACATTCCTCATACTCTGTAGAGCCATGGTTACATGTGTGCTGCCATGCCTGGCTTTTTTTGAGGCGGGATCTCATATAGTCCAGACAGGCTGACTGAACTTGCTATGTAGGGTAACCTTGGACTTCTGATATTCTTCCTGCCACCTCTCAAGTCCTGGAAACACATGTGCACATCACACTGACCTCACACCTGCATTTTTAAAAGGTTCTTTTTTTTTTTTATTTGTGTGTGTGCATATGTGAGTATAGATGACCTCAAAGGCCAGAGGAGGGCACAGGATCCCCTGGAGCTGGAATTACAAGCAGTTGTGAGCTGCCTGACGTGGGTGCTGGGAACCGAACTGGGGTCTTCTGCAAAAGTAGTTACACACTTTTTGTTGTTGTTGTTGTTTCTTTATGTGGCATTGGTTGTCCTGGAACTGGCTCTGTAGACCAGGCTGTTCTTGAATTCACAGAGATCCTTCTCCCTCTGCCTCCAGAGTGCTGGGATTAAAACCATACACCGCCACCACCCAGCCAGTTATATACTGCTGAGCTATCCCTTGCCCTCATACCTTAACTTTCTAAAATTCTTTTTGTATACGAATAGCCTGGTGTCCATGGAGGCTGGAAGAGAGCACTGGATCCCTTGGGACCTGAGCCACGGACAGCTATGGGGCCACCATGTGGATCCCCAGGAAGAGCAATTAGTGCTCTTAACCTACTAAATCATCCCTCTATCCCACCCTACCCTACCCCACCTCACCCCACTTCATCCCATTCCCTTTAAAAATAAGGTCTTACTATTTAACCCTGGCTGTCTTAGGAACTCACTGTGTAGACCAGGCTGCCTCTGCGTTTTGGGTACTAGAATAACAGGTGTGGGCCTCCACACCTAGCTCACACTTGATCCTGTGTGTTTGCTGGGGTCCAGCTCAGGTCCTCATTCTTTCACAACGAGTACTTTACCTTTGTCCAGCCCCTGTGGTTTAGTTTTTAGTAGTCCCTGGGAATTGAACTCAGGACCTTGCACTTGCTGAACATGTGCAAAATTAAGCTGCACCCACAATTCCACCCTGTTGTTTTTCTCCTGTATGGTGTCAAGGTCAAATCTAGGGCCTCAAGCATGCTAGGCAAGCACTCTACCACTGAACTGTATACTCAAAACTCTCCTTTTGTCAGGGTAGACCCCTCATTTCTGTTTGGCTAATTTTGCTTAGCCATCAGGAGTCTTCCTAGCTCCAGGGCCCAGATCTCTTTCTGTCCTGTATTATCTGGTATATGGTGAGTTCCTGGGAGCTGTGGATTGGCTGAATGGTACGTGGCAGAATGGTGGCAATCAAATACAATTTTTTAAACTACTTAATTTTTAATTTAAAAATACTTACATGGTGGCTCACGCCTTGAATCCCAGCACTCGGAGGCAGCGGCAAGCAGATCTCTGAGTTTGAGACCAGCATGGTCTACAGAGCTAGTTCTAAGACAGCTAGAGCTATTATACAGAGAAACCCTGTTTCGAAAAACAAAACAAAACTTAATTTGGCTTGGTGGTGGTAGTGCATGCCTTTCTCCCAGTTCTTGAGAGGCAGAGGCAGGTGGGTCCCTGAGTTCAAGGCCAGCCTATATAAAGCTATATAGAGCTATATAGAACTATACAGCCTATATAGAACTCTATAGAGCGAGTTCCAGGACAACAGAAAAATGCTGTATAAACCCCTTCTTTCCCATCCAAAAAAAAAATTCCAAAATAAAAAACAAAACCAACTTATTTTGTTAGTGGGGGCATGAACGTGCCACAGACAACTTTCCACCATTTGAGGTCTGGGATTGAACTCAGATCATCAGGATTAATGGTCAGTGCTGAGCCATCTTACTAGTCCCTGGTGGCATGATACTCAGGAAAGGACTGAGCTCCTAGGATGAGCTTGCTTTCAGATGAATTGAGTTGGAAGTGTAGGTTAGCCTTGCTGGTGAAAGTGTGCAGTAGGTGATTGGAACTAGGGTCCTGGAGCCATTCAGGGGTCTTTCTTGTGAAGAAGCTGTTGTAGTGGGAGGAGGGGGCGAGGGCTCAAGGCTGTGTGTGTGATCTGAGAGGATATTCAGAGACTAGGGGTAGAGACACTGAATACCTGGTACCCGGATAAGAAACAGATTTCCATCTTGTGTCTGATGCAGGGGAATGTGGTCGCCCTTGTGCACGACGACAGAGATGCTGAGGATGAGGAGAACGACGTCCTGCTGAATGGTCTTAGTCACCAAAGCCACCTGATCTTGCGGGCTGAGGGCCTGGCCACTGGGTTCTGCAAGGATGTGCATGGACAGGTACACAGGCTGAGCCGTGGGTAGGAGGGAAACCTTGGGAGTCCGGAGTTTCCTGAATGCCAGTCAGTGCCCTGCACCGGGTGATATAGAGACTCCTGGAGCAAGAAACACTTTTCCTGGCGGTCTCATTTGCGGCCAAAGCAGTGTTCTAAAAAGGAAACAGTTATTAGGGACTTCAGCTGCACTATCAAATAATAGCAGGATTCCGCTGCCATACTGTAGCAGGATTCGCATTTTCTGCTCAACAAAGCTCCTTTAAAAATAGAGACACGGAGCCGGGCGGTGGTGGTGCACGCCTTTAATCCCAGCACTCGGGAGGCAGAGGCAGGCGGATCTCTGTGAGTTCGAGACCAGCCTGGTCTACAAGAGCTAGTTCCAGGACAGGCTCCAAAGCCACAGAGAAACCCTGTNAAAAAAAAAAAAAAAAAAAAAGAGAGAGAGAGAGAGACACGGGGCGGGGGGAAGGAGGGCTGGAGAGATGGCTCAGTGGTTAAGAGCATTGCCTGCTCTTCCAAAGGTTCCAAGTTCAATTCCCAGCAACCACATGGTGGCTCACAACCATCTGTAATGAGGTCTGGTGCCCTCTTCTGGCCTGCAGACATATAGACAGACGGAATATTGTATACATAATAAATAAATTAAAAAAAAAATAGAGACACGAGGGCCGGCAAGATGGCAGAGCAGGTAAAGGTGCTTGCTGCCGAGCCTGACAACCTGGGTGGGATTTGGGAATCCACACAGTGAAGGGAGACACACACACACACCACAAATAAATAAGTATAAAACTTTAGATTGGGCTTGAGAAATACTCAGAACTTAAGATCCAAGAGCAGTTTCTACTGACTGGAGTTCAGTTCCTAGCATGCGCAGCCGGCAGTCACAGCCGCCTATAACTCCAGCTCCAGACAACCTGACACCTTTTTCTGGCCTGTGCAGATATCTGCACTCTCATGCACATTCCCACGTGAGGACACACACACATATACATAATCAAAAGTAAATTTATGGTGGCACACACCTGAGGCTGAGGCCGGTGGATGTCTATGAGTTCAAGGCCAATTTGGTCTATATAGTAGTGTGACCCAGACCAGCCAGAACTACATTAAAACAAAAAACAAAAATCCATTCTCAAAAAACAAAAGTAAAAAATAAATTCAGCACTTGGGAGGCAGAAGCAGGCAGATCTCTGTGAGCTTGAGGCCACCCTTTTCTACATATTGAGCTCTGGGTTAGCCAGAGTTACATGGTAAGTCTGTCTTTAAAAACAATTTTAAACAGCAACAACAACAGAATCTTAAAGTGGCCATGCTTGTGGGCCCCTGCAGTTGTCACCGCTAGAATGTTTGGTGGGAAACTGGTTTCTGCCCCTCTCGTGGTATTCCTTTTTTTTTTTTTTAATTTTTCAAGACAGAGTTTCTCTGTGTGACAGTCCTAACTGTCCTGGAACTCAGCTTGTAGACCAGGCTGGCCTTGAACTCACAGAGATCCACCTGCCTCTGCCTCTCCCTCTTGAGTGCTGGGATTAAAGACGTGCGCCACCGCCGCCCGGCTTCTCACAGTGCTCTTGGAAGCTGTGACTTTACACTTCGTTGTCAGGATGATTCCCGGAGCTTCCGCCTCAGCTTCCAGTTTATTTCACACTGACCACTCTTCACTCGGGTGCAGGGGAGGCATTGTTGAGAATCTCGGCAAGTCTGGCAGGTTGAGCCCAGGCATGCTATGTTGGAGCACTTGTGGTGCAGTTTGGGCAAAGGGTAGCTGACTGGGCAGCTGCAGTCTCTCTCAGCCTTCCCCAAGCCTTTCAGTCAGCTGGAGCATCAACTGTAAGTGTCTTTCCTGAGGCTTGTAGAATGTCCAGATTCTAATGTGCTGATTTCCCAAGAAAGCACAAAGCCACACCTAGAACAAAGACCAAGGGACTGGAGAGATGGCTCAGCAGTTATGAGCACTCGCTGCTCTTTCAGGCTTCCAACCATCTGTAACTCCAGTTCCAGGGGATCTAATACCCCACCTCTGGCCTCCATGGGCACCGACACTCACCTAGTACACATGCAGCTAAACACACACTTATACACATAAAAGTAACAATTTTTTTAAAAAATTTTAAGAGTGGTTAGTGATGTACGTAGAGCTTAGTGTTAGAGCACTTGACTAGCATGTATAGGGCTCCAAGTTCAAACTCTAGCACTAAAAAATAAAATAAGCCAGGCAGTGGTGGCACACACCTTTAATCCCAGCACTCGGGAAGCAGAGGCAGGTTCTTTGTGAGTTAGAAACCAGCCTGGTCCTCAAGAGTGAGTTCCAGAACAGTTAGGGCTGTTACACCGAGAAACCTTGTCTTGAAAAACCAAAATAAATAAAATAAAAAAGGAAGGAGGAAGGGGTATGGCGACACATGCCAGCACTCTGGAAGCAGAAGCAGTGAGCTCCCCATGAATTTGTGGCCAGCCTGGTCTACATAGCACAGTTGTCTCAAAATTACTACAGAGCTGGGTGGTGGTGGCGCACTTGGGAGACAGAGGGAGGATGAACTCTAAGAGTTCAAGACCAGCCTGGTCTACAGTGTGAGTTCCAGGATAGCAGGGCTACGTAGAGAAACCCAGTCTGGGGGGCAGGACTGAAGGAGGACAGGAGAAGGGAGGGCAGAGGAGGGGAGGGGAACACTCACAGAAGGGAAATACACAAACTACTGCTCCTCTTTGGAGGACTTTTTCATCCTTTACTTCTCTGTGAGAAGCAAACACAGCTGCTGAAATGGAGGGGCAACCTTGATTTTTCTGTTGGCTGGTAGTGTTTATTGTAAACATTGGGCCTATTACCATATGACGGATTTGCCTGAGCTATGTAGCAACCTCAATGGGAGGACACCAGGAGGCCCAGTGGGATTCCTGGTGGAGCGGGTCCTTGGCGGCTGCCCACCTTTCTTCATTCTTCTCCTCTCCGCAGCTGAGGATCCTCTGGAGGAGGCTGGCACAGCCCACAACCCAGCGGGATCGAAGCCTCACTTACCAATACAAGATACAGGATAAAAATGTGTCCTTTTTTGCCAAGGGAATGTCTCCTGCTATTCTGTGACCTGGTTGGGGACAACTAAGTGACTTTGGATGGTTTTGATGTGGAAGACAAAGCAGCTGGGCAGGAATGGGCATCGGGCCTTTGACACGCTCTTCAGGCCCTCCACTGTGGCCCGAGGATTGAATGGTGCTGGGAGGAGTGGGTGCCTTTGTTCCCCAGGACTCTGCTCAGTGAACACAGCTGCTTCTGCTGAGAGGCTGCGGGGAACCATGGAACTTCAGCCTCACCTGCCCATTTTTGGTGGCTGTGCCTTTAAGAGCCACTGCAGGTGGAGTGAGCAGTCAGGAAGCTGTCCTGAATGGCAGCCGTCCAGGCTGAGACTAGAATAAAGATGGCTCCCACACCAGGCTTCCTGGGGTTGTCTCTTTTATGTTTCATTTCCGTCTTGCAAAGGGACTTTTCCTTGAAGTCCAGTGAGAAAATGGGCTTGGAGAGGAGATAAAGATATTTGAGGCCTAGAGAAGGTTTTGGATAATTAAGCCAGACTCCAAGGCCATACTTGCTGACTTGTGTTCCTGGAGACCAGGGCAGGTGTAGCCACCCACCAGACAGTTCTTGGAACGAGTGGTTTTGTGTGTGTGTGTGTGTGTGTGTGTGTGTGTGTGTGTTGAGGGACAGTTTGAGACAAAGTCTCTCCATGTAGCTCTGGATGTCCTGGAACTAACTCTCTGGCTGGCCTTGAACACAGGACTGAGAAACCTTGTCTCAAAAAAAAAAAAAAAAAACTTAAAAAAAATAAATAAAAATATTTAATTGGGGGCTTGCTTTCAGTTTCAGAGGCTTAGTCCATGATCATCATGCAGGGAGCATGGTGGCACTCATGGCTCAGGAGAAAGAGAAAGGGAGGGGGAAGAAAAGGGGAGAGAGAGAGAGAGAGAGAGAGAGAGAGAGAGAGAGAAAGAGAGAGAAATTGAATTTTTGAAACTTCATAGCTTACCCTCAGCAAAACCCTTCGTTCAACAAGGCCTTACCGCCTAATCCTAAGCCTTTCAAACAGTTCCACTCCCTGGTAATCAAGCATTTGAATGTATGAGCCTAGGGGGGCCGTTCTTATTCAAACCACCGTAGGTGGGGAGCACCGGCGATCTGTGTCGCTACCAGCAAGATCACCTTAGCTGCTGCCTGCAAAGTGTGTCACCGAAGTTCCTCATCCAGCAAGATCAATAGGTGATGGCATTACCAAACATAGACTCCATTGTCACCCGCAAATGCTGGCCCTTGCTAGCAGAAAAAAATTGTGGCGAAATCGGGGTGTGGTTGGCTTGGCTCCAGCAGAAGGGGAAGGGAGTGCTGTGGAGCATGGAATCCCACTGAAATCAGGGATGAGATCGCTAAGATGCTCTACTTCTCAGGGGAAATGTTCAGGGTCCTGGCTGTCAAAGAGAAAGCTGTTTTGTTTCCTGAACAGGGTCTCACTATGTAGCTCAGGCTGGCCTTAAACTCTTGTCCCAACCTCTTGAATCTTGGGATTATAGATTTATGGCATCATACCTTTTTTTTTTTTTTTTTTTGGAGACAGGGTTTCTCTGTGGCTTTGGAACCTGTCCTAGCTCTTGTGGACCAGGCTGGCCTCAAACTCACAGAGATCCACTTGGCTCTGCCTTCCAATTGCTACCATGCCCAGCTATTTAATTTTATGTGAGTGCCTTGTGCTGGCAGAGCCAAAAAAAAAAAAAAAAAAAAAAAAAAGGAAGGGGATTAAATCCCCTGCAGCTGGAGCTGCAGATGGCCATGAGCTGCCACCTAGGTACTAGGAGCCAAACCTAGGTCCTCTGCAAGAGCAGCAAGTGCTCTTAACCACTATGCTACCTCTGTAGCCCATTTATTATTTTAAAATAGTTTATTTCAAGCTGGGTATGGTGACACAAACCTTGGGGGACAGGCAGGTGGATCTATTAGTTCTAGGTCAACATGGTCTATACATCATGAGCTCCAGGCCAGCCAGGGCTACACAGTGAGACCCTGTGTCAGAAAACCAAAACATATTGTAGTCTCAAACAAACAAACAAAACCCCTACTATTTTATTTTAGTTATTCTCTATGTGTATGTGTGTGTGTGTGAGTGTGTGTGTGTGTGTGTGTGTGTGTGAGAGAGAGAGAGAGAGAGAGAGAGAGAGAGAGAATATATCCATGAGTGCAGGTCTCTGCTGAAGCCAGAAGAGGCCATCTATCACATCTCCCAGAGCTGGAGTTAGAGTTGTGAGCAGCCTGCTTTAGATGCTCTGAACAAAAGTGAGGTCCTCTGCCATGAGCTAACTGATAGGGCATTTTCTACCCCTGACTCCATTTATTTGACATCTCCAGAGAGAGCAAATCTATAGAGACAGACTAGATTAGTAGTTGTTTGGAGGCTGCGAGTGGGAATAGGAAGTCATTTAACCTCTCTAGACCTCAGTTTCATCATTTAAAAAGTGGGATAATAATTCCTATTTCATGGTTTTATTTTTATTAAAAATTTTTGTTTATTTTTACGTGTGTGTGTGTGCCACAGCACACGTGGAGGTTCAGATGTCAACCTGTGGGAGTTGGTTCTGTCCATCTGTGCACCCCAGGCATCTAACTCAGGTCTTCAGGCTTGACCTGCTGAACCATCTCAATGGCCCAGTATTTTTTAAAAATTAGCTTATGTGTATAGATATTTTGCCTGCATGTTTGTCTGTATGCCATGTGTGTGTGATGCCTACAGAGGCCAGAAGACGGTAGTACTGGATGGATCCCTTGGAACTGGAGTTACTAGATGGTTATATGTAGCAAGTCTTTCTCTGTCCCGCCTGCCAGCTCCCAAATAACCACACAGAGATGTATTAACTATGAAAGCTCAGCCTTCCTTAGGCTTGTTTCTAACTAGCTCTTCTATCTTCATTTAACCCATATCTTTTAATCTGTGTTCTTTTTTTTAAGAGCTTTTTTTATTATTATTATGTATACAATATTCTGTTTGTGTATATGCCTGCAGGCCAGAAGAGGGCACCAGACCCCATTACAGATGGTTGTGAGCCACCATGTGGTTGCTGGGAATTGAACTCAGGACCTTTGGAAGAGCAGGCAATGCTCTTAACCTCTGAGCCATCTCTCCAGCCCCTAATCTGTGTTCTTTTATGTGGCTCAGTTACCTTTACCCTGTACTCCACATGCTGTTTTCTCTCCTCCGTTGACTGGTGACTCTTTCTTCTCTGAGCTCTCTCTGTCCAGAAGTCCCACCTATACCTCTTGCTGTTGGGCATTTAGCTTTTTATTAAACCAGTCACAATGAAACATCCTCATACAGTGTAAAGGAATGTTCCATAACAGTTGTGAACTACCACACGGTAGTTCACAACTAGAGAACCTGGGTTTTCCTTTTTCTTTTTTTTTTGGTGTTTTTGAGACAGGGTTTCTCTGTGGCTTTGGAGCCTGTCCTGGAACTAGCTCTGTTTTTTTTTTTTTAAATATTTATTTTATTTATTTATTATGTATACAATATTCTGTCTGTATGTCTGAAGGCCAGAAGAGGGCGCCAGACCTCTTTACAGATGGTTGTGAGCCACCATGTGGTTGCTGGGAATTGAATTCAGGACCTTTGGAAGAGCAGGCAATGCTCTTAACCGCTGAGCCATCTCTCCAGCCCCCTGGAACTAGCTCTGTAGACCAGGCTGGTCTCGAACTTACAGAGATCCGCCTGCCTCTGCCTCCCGAGTGCTGGGATTAAAGGGAACCTGAGTTTTCTTGAAGAACAGCTTGCTTATTCATCTATCTGTTTGCTTATTCATCTGTTTCTTTATTTTGGTTTTTCGAGACAGGGTTTCTCACTGCCCTGGAACTCACTCTGTAGACTAGTCTGACCTCGAATTCGCAGAGATCTGCCTGCCTCTGCCCCCCTGAGTGGAGTGGTGGGATTAAAGGCATGAACTACCACCGCCCAGCTGAGTAGTGTTCTTAAATGCTGAGCCACGTCTCTAGCTCCCCCACCCCACCCCAGTATTTTTATTTATTTATGTTTGCAGTATTGGGAACTGAACCTAGGACTTCACACGTGCTAGGCAGAACTCTACCAGGGAGCTCTAGCACCAGGCCATATTTTTTGTTTTTTTGAGAAGACCTTGAACTTACAGTGATCCCTCTGCCTCTGGATGCTGGAATTATACTCTGCAAATTGTCTTACTGTATCCTTGGTATACAACAGATGGTGAAGTTCTGCTAAGAAATACAGACGCTGGATGAACATCAATGCAGCATTGAGAGTGAGTATTTTAAGTGGCTGTGTAACAGTGATTACAGTGACTGCCACTTACTGGAATCAAGGCATTTTGTGCGTTCATGTTCTGTTTTAATTTCTTTCAAAAGCCTCAGAGGGTGGTGTTCTTGATTATGTCCTGGGCCTTGGCTTGGAGGTTGACATTTCCTGAGGTTAAATAGATTCTCTCAGCCACAGAACTGTGGTTCATATCTGAACTGGAATCGAAACCAAGGAGCCTCGTCCTGCAGCAGCTATTTTTGCTCCTTTGTGTTGCCAATCGCTATCACATTTTTTATGTGTGTGTGGGGACTTTTTGAGACAGGGTTTCTCCGTATAGCCCTGGCTGTCCCGGAACTCACTATGTAAACCAATCAGGCTGGTCTTGAACTCACAGATCCGTCTACCTCTGCCTTCTGAGTGCTGGGATCATGGGTGTGCATCCTCATGCCCAGCAAATGTTCTCCTTAGATCCATGGTTCTCAACCCTCCTAATGCTGTGACGCTTTAACAATGTTCTCCTTAGATCCATGGTTCTCAACCCTCCTAACGCTGTGACCCTTTTAACACAGTCCCTCATGTTGTGCTGACCCCCAACCATAGAGTATTTTGTTGCTACTTCCTAACTGTAATTTTGCCACTGTTATGAATCATAATGTAAGTATCTGATATGCCACCCCCAAAGGGAGCTCAACCTGCAGGCTGAGAGCCACCGCTTCAGAGGTAGTTTCTGCATTTGTTAGATAGACTCATTCTCTAGCATTGACAACTGTTCTGAGGATTAATTGAGATCAAATATAACACTAGGCACAGGAGAAAAATGTAACTACTGGGAATTATTAAGTTTTTGGTGATTTCCTGTTCCATTTAGTTTGTGTGTTTTAGTTTGATTGGTTTTGGTGTTTCAAGACAGGGTTTCTCTATGTAACCCTGGCTGTCGTGGAACTCACTCTCTGGACCAGCCTGGCTTCGAACTCAGAAATGAACTGCCTCTGCCGCCCAAGTGCTGGGATTAAATGCAACAGTGTGCCACCACTGCTGGCGAAAACTTTATTTATTTGTTTGTTTGTTGGTGAGATATGGGTTTCTCTGTGTAGCCCTGGCCATCCTGGAACTCACTCTGTAGACCAGGCTGGCCTTGAACTCAAAGACCCTAGTGTTGGGATTAAATGTGTGTACCACCACTACCTGGCTTCCATTTAGTTTTGAAAATTTGAATTTATTTCTCATGGAGACCAACCTGAAGTTGGTTGAACTTCTCTGAAAATCTTCGTCCAAGCCCTTCCCTGAATTTGTCCTTGGTCTGTGCGGCTGGCCTGCCTGCCTGTGGTTACCAACAGACTGACTGACCTGCCCTGACTTTGGCTTCTCAGGCATCTTAGGGGAAAGCCACTTTCTCCCCAGTGTTAGATATGAGACCCAAGGCCTAGGACAGAGGTCAGCAGCTGTACAGAAAAGCTGCTTTGTGTCGCTCCTGTTTGGTTCTGTATCCTGGACTGCCTGATCTGAATGCAGAGTCCCAGGCTAGCCGTGGTAACATAGCGATATCCTAGCTATAATCAGACAGATGCTTGTGTCTGGGAGGCTGGTTTGGAGAGTGCAGCATCGGTGGAGTGAGGTTGGGTGGGAAAGGGAGGTGTGGGCTTGGCAGTGGTTCCCCGGTCCTCTGTTCCTCTCTGCAGAGAAGACTTGTTCAGTGGGCCCAGGGCCCAGCAGAACTCTGGTTTAACTTTTCCTTGGTGACTGTGCTGTGATGTGAGTTTAGAGCCACAGTCTTTTCAGGAACTTAGTGGTAAAAGAAAGCTCAACCATGTAGGGCCCTGATAGGCTCAGTCCAGACACTGTAGGCGCTGCTGGGGAGGGTGCTCAGTATGGAGGCTCGTGCGCGTTTGTAGCGTTCCTGGTGTTGGAAACAGATGTTGGTGCTGAACAAAGACACATGCATAGGAGTAAAAATAACTTAGCAAGGCAATTTCTTTTTCTTGTTTTTTTTTCCTTCCTTCTTTCCTTCCTTTCTCTCTCTCTCTCTCTCTCTCTCTCTCTCTCTCTCTCTCTTTCTTTCTTTCTTTCTTTCTTTCTTTCTTTCTTTCTAAGGATGGGCTGGCGAGCTTACCAGGGCAGGAAGTGCACTGGTTTTTATTCTAACACAGGTGATGACTGTGTCTTTCCCCATTGGCTGAAGTCCAACCTCAGAGTATTTTAAGAGTAATTAGTTTTAAAAGAATATATGTAAAGGAAGTTAAGAAAATGGGGAAGGGATTGTCTGTTCCAGGCCATCACATTCAGGGAACATTCTGTGTGTGTGTGTGTGTGTGTGTGTGTGTGTGTGTGTGTGAGCGTGTGTGTTGTAGAAATTAAACATTTTACCAGGTGGAGGGGATTAAAGGATTTTAATTCTCTCTCTCTCTCTCTCTCTCTCTCTCTTTCTGACAGGGTTTCTTTGTATAGCCCTGGCTGTCCTGGAACTGTCCTGGAATGTGCTGGCATTGAAGTCGCGCACCACCACTGCTTGACTAAGATTTTAATTTTCTACATAAAAGTTTTACAAGGTGGGGGAGGTTTATGGAATATTAGCCTTTGGAGGGCAGGCTACTTTTGATAAAAATGAATACAAACAAACAAAAAAACCTATTTTTCACAAGTGAGGCCCTGGACTGCAAACAGCTCTGGGAGAACTGAATGGGATTCAGTCATAGAGCATAACAAATGACTTGGGTTCAAGTCCAGCACTCAAAACAAACACTCAACAAATAAAACTAGAAAGACCGAGACAGTGGTGCAAGTGGAGAAAGAAGTGACCGAGAAGTGAGATCCTCACTCCCAGGGCTGCCGAGAAGGCAGATGTGGTATCTGAGGGGAACAGCCTTGCAGAGAGCTATCTAAGGTTGCAGGTAATCCTTGAACTGTATAGATAGCCCTGGAACTCAGGAGGAGCTCACATCAGTTTTGCCTCAGACTTTCTCTCTCTCTCTCTTTTTTGGTAAAGACTTATTTATTTATTATGTATACAGCATTCTGCCTGCATGTATCCCTGCAGGCTTAAAGATGGCATCAGATTTCATCACAGATGGTTGTGAGCCACCATGTGGTTGCTGGAAATTGAACTCAGGACCTCTGAAGTTGAAGTGCACTTACCCTCTGAGCCATCTCTCCAACCCCTTGGCTCGGACTCTTAAATGCTAAGATTACAGGCATTCGCCACCAGCCCGGGTGTTTTGGTTTGCCTATCTGTTGCTAGAATAAAGCACTAACCCACATTAACCTGGGATGGAGGTTGGGGCTAGAGAGATGGGTCGGTAGTTAAAGTACTGTTGCCCTCACAGAGGACTGGGTCCCACTTCCAGCAACTACATGGTGGCTCACAACCATCTCTAACTTCAGTTCCAGGGGGAGCTGAAGCCCTCCTTTGGACACTAGGCACACATGTGGTGCAAATACACACCAGCAGGCAAAACACTCATACACATTGTAAAACTTTAAGACAGTTCTGAAGCCATTTCTGACAATTCTGAACCCTCTCAGCCTCTGTGCCTTAGTGCTTCCCCTCCTCCCCTGGGAACCAAGGACCTAACAGCTACACATGCACGAATGTTCTCCAGAAATTAGGGCAAGATAACCTTTAAGATGTTGACTCAGTTTCTGGACAATTACCCATACACGTATGTTTTGATTCAGTCCCCTGGGAAACGGGATCAAAATGACCTCTTACCTCATCTGATCTGGCAACAGCTCTCCAGCCAATTATTGGTAACAGCCCTTTTGAATAAGCCAATCATAATAGTCAAAGAACAACCCTCCTTGCTTTTGTGGCCTTCTCCTTCAAAAGTAGCCCGTACCAGCTATTCGAGGTCTCTCGGCTTCCCAGATGCTGAGGGACCCTGTCATGACAGAATTAATAAAATCCTCATGCTTTTGCATCGGCTATGGTGTGAGGGGTGGTCTCTGGGGTGACTCCTCCTTGGTGTTTGGACTCTAGGTCCAACAACATCAAACAGTAAATAAATCTTTTAAAAAATCAACTTGGGGAGCAAAGGATTTATTTGGCTCCCATTGTCATGCCACAGTCCAGCATGGGGGAAGTCAGGGCAAGCACACCAGGTAACTTTTTTCCAGCTCTGAGGTGTGAGCTCAAGGCCTTGATACCAGGCAAGTGCACTGAGCTGCATCTCCACCTTTTCTTGCTGGGGGAGTAGGACATGACGGTGTTCCCTGTGTCCTCAAACTAGTAGCCTTAGACTTCCATTCCTTCTGCCTGCACCTCCTGAGGGCTGAGGTCATAGGCGTGAGCTACCACACCCAGTCTATTTGGTGCTGGGGAGCAAACCTAGGACTTTGTGCTTGCTTGGCAGGTAGTCTACCAACTGAGCTACATCCCTACCGGAAACCTACCTGCCTTATAGAATAACTTTTTTTTTTTTTTTTTTCTTCGAGACAGGGTTTCTCTGTGGTTTTGGAGCCTGTCCTGGAACTAGCTCTTGTAGGCCAGGCTGGTCTCGAACTCACAGAGATCCGTCTGCTTCTGCCTCCCGAGTGCTGGGATTAAAGGCCTGCACCACCACTGTCCGGCAAGACATTTGTTCTTGATACTATTTTATTGGCACAACAAGAGACTAGAAAGGGAGGCCAATCCCACAACTGGAAAGAAAATCCATTTTGCTGTGAAGGGGTTAAGAGACCACAAAAACAAAACAAAACAAAACAAAACAAAGAAACGTGCACAAGCTTAACTCAGCGCTTGGCATAACTGTTTCGGTTATATTACCTGTTACACATGCAAGCCAGCAGGTGGAAGAGACGAACACCCATATCCTTCCCCTTAATAAACACTGACCACACGTCATTTTAACAAAATGGAATCATAAGCCAGCTTGCTTTTGAGTCACCTTTCGTTGTCAGTAAGTACTCATCAAACACCCTCGATGTGGGAGGCTCCTGTACCAGTTCACCAACTCCATGCATTTGCTACCCAATTCAGTTCTTTCTAATTCCCTGTTTGTTTTCTTTTTGATGATGCTGTGGATCAAAACCAGGGTCCGAGTCAATTGCTCTACCACTGAACCACACGCCCAGCCCCGCTTCTAATCCTCTATAAAGCATAGACCATGAGCCTCTCGCGCGTGTGCTTGGTAACTTTCCGGGAGCATGCGGTCAAAATTCCTAAGGGACACTTGCCACCCTTTTCCATTTCCAAGCCCTGGGGAAGCTGCAGGTCTTCTTCCCGCGGTTGTGTGGCAGGGGACCGCCAGGGGGCGACCCCGAGCCGCTGGCAGAGCCAGATTACGCATGCGCACGCCGCGGGGAGCACGTGTGGAGGGCGGCGGAGCGGGAGGGGAAAGGTAGGAGTTGAGAGGTGAAGGGGCGGGGAGCTGCGCGGGCGCCGGGCGGCCGGGAGGGAGAGGGCGGGCTCCAAAGACCGGACCGTGGGCCAGGAGCGCGCAGGCCGCGCTCCGCCGCTCTGCCGCCGCTGCCCGGGAGCTGCCTCGCCGCCACAGGTACCTCAGCGCGCGGCTCCACGGCGCGGCAGGGCCCCGGCTGAGGCCTCGCGCCGCTCGTGCCCGGGAGTTCCGGGATGGGGGCGAGCCCGGGCAGGGACGCGCGGGCGTGGGCGCTGTCCAGCAGCCCGAGGGCGGCTCCGGAGACCGCAGGCTGGCGCGGGGCTCGGACGGTCGTCGCGCGTCCCCTTCCCGACCGCGCCCCCGCCCGGGCCGAGCTGCCCGGGTCGCACTGGGTCTCAGGAACCTGCTTTGGGGTTGTTTGGGGTTTCCAGAGTGCGAGCTCGGTAGCCCCAGTGACTCGGTCCTGCCTCTGCGAAGATCCGATAGCGAGGCAGCGTGTAGAGTCTTCGCTGGGCGTGCTCGGTTTCTGGTTTTCTGTATTGCTTAAACCTAAACTTTGCTCTCTCGTGTTGCTGGTGTTTACTTCCAGGTGGGTTTGTTGCATCAGGGTTATAATGCGATAGCGCTAGCTGCAGGGAGCTCTGGGTCTGTGCTGCATCACAGAAAGTTGTGCAGATGGAGGCGATGAAGAGGGCAATGAGCCCCCGGGTGGGTGTGGGGGGGCGGTTCTGGCAGGAATCTTCGCTAGTTCTGCTCGTTTTTTTTTTCATCTCTTATGGTGACAGAGCTGATGATTAAACGCTCTCTGGTGATCTTGCAATAATTTTTGTGAAGTCGACATAGGAACAGTCTAATGATGTTATCTTCGTGTGCGTTTGTAGAGTTCGCTTATGCGGTGTGCTGCCATCTCAGGGTGTTGTTTGCTACAGATTGAAGCTTTTATTAGAGAGTCAGGATCAAGTGTGTCTAGTTAGTGCTGAATACGTTTTAGGTGCATGCTGAATGATGCTTAATTGAAGATTGTATCTTTTTAAGTCTGTATTGTTGTATCTCAGATCTAAAGCGCTCTTTATATATTTGCAGCGTTTCTGCTTGGGCACGCAGTCTTTAGGAAACGACCAACAGCAAATTACAAGTATAAACGTTATTTCTATAGTTGTTATTTCGTTATTTGGGGATGTGGGACTAGGACATTGGTGTACCACTGAGCAACATCTGTGGCTCTTTATTTTGAGTTGGGCTTCGTTGCCCAGGCTGACCACAGTGTTTCATCGTCCTGCCTCAGTTTCCTGAGTTATGTGGGATAGCAGATGTGTGTGCCACTGCTCCTGCTCATCAGTCTAAGTTGAAATGGAAGAACTGGACTTACTTGGAACTCATTTGTTGTTGAATACTCTCTCTTTTGCTACTGTGGCAAAAGAAAAAAGGAAGAAAAAGTACCTCTCCAGAGGGTTCTATGTGCTGTAGAGCCACTGGCTTGGGAATCCCCACCACCAATTTAGATTACTCTTCTGTAGCGGGTCAAAAACTTTATTCTTAGTTTGTGGCTAGAACACAGAACCATAAAAATTGTGATTTGCCTGACGTCATATGTAAGCTGCTTCACAGTCCAGTTGGGAAAAAAACCGTGACTGCTGTACATATGTATTTAATGTGGGTGGTAAACTTTAGGGTGCCCACAGTTTAGGAGCACTTCAGATGAATGTGTCTCAGGGAGCCTAGGAGACTTGGGATCATGTGCTGTTTGCTCATGCTGCGTTATCCATTTGTTGGCTCTGACATGTCTGGTACGTGTGGTTTCTGCTATCTCTCCCACTGAGCCAGTTGCTTCCAGCTTGTACACGGAGGATCAGGCCTTCAAACCACTTCTCCAGACGGCCACATGAGCTCCTGCCCCTGTAACTTACTACCATCCTGAGTTTGCTGAAGAAACAAGATCAGGTGACTTTTGCCACCTAAAGTGATACTTCTGGGGACTATTGAGTGTTTTGAATGCTTGTGCTGTTGGGCACTGTGCTCGGGGCTCCTGTGTTAGCTTCTCAAGTCCCATGTGAACAGATGGGATGATAGTGTTAGCTCTTTTCTGGGTGAATTTCAGGCAAGTTTTCTCCCTGGCCATGGGTCACTAGCCAGTTAGGGGTTAAGCTTGTGTGCAGACGTGTGTGACTGACCACAGTTGTGTTTTCCTGTTGCTGCATCCACTGACTTCACAGTTGGAAAATGGGAGATAACAGGAGGTGGTGTGAGTGGTGGGAAGCAGCCCCTGTCGCGGAGTTGAATCTGAGCTGGCAGATTTTTTTTTTTTTTTTTTTTCTGAGCTGGCAGATTGCAGTAAGACGGGGCTCTCGTTTCATCATCTTCTCCACTCTACTTGCTATACTTTTCTCATTTTTAAAAATGTTTTAATTTGTGGAAAATAATACATAACATAAAATTTACAATTTTAGTGATTAATGTAGTAGTTGGGAATATTAAATATACTCACAGTACTGTATAGCTGTAATTACTATCCATTTCCAGAATTTTTATATAATTCTACACAGAAACTGTCCCCACTAAACAGTCCCTTCATTAACCTGTCTTCCAGTCCTGGCAAACTGTGTTCCACTCTCTGTGAGCTTGCTTATGATAATTTCTGTCATCTGAAGGAAGTGTAAAGTATACATTTAGATTTTTATTTTATATATATGAGTGTTTTAGTTGTGTGTGTGTATGTGTACCATATTTATGCCTGGTGTCTCCTGAGGTCAGAAGAGGGTGTCAGTATCCCTGGAACTGAAGTTAGGGATGGTTGGGAACAACTGTGTGGGTGCTGGAAACCAAGCCCTGACCCTCTGCGGGAACAAGGCCTTTCACTGCTGGCCATCTCTCCAGCCTCATGTATTTCTCTTCTGTTTCCTTTCACCTTGTTTTCAGGGTTCATCATGTATTGTTTATTATGTCTCATTCCTTTTTCAGATTGAATTACATTATTTTGTATGTATATTCACATTTTTTTTTTTTTCAAGACAGGGTTTCTCTGCATAGCCTGGGCTGTCCTGGAAATCACAGACCAGCCTGGATTTGAACCTGCCTGTTTCCCCAAGTGCTGGGATTAAAGGCAATGCTAAAGATCCACATTTTAAGAGAAATCTCTTCATCTTTTAATGAACATTGGAGCTATTTCTGCCTTTTGGTTATTGGGAATGATGATGTTAGGGACATGGTGCACAATTAATCATCATCAGAAGACTGAGAATATTTAGTAATACCATTATACAGATAGATCTTTGAATTCTTGCGTTTAGCTCCTTATATATTTTCTGCATGCCCACTTGGATATACAGTTGTCCCTCAGGATTTATAGAGGATTGAGTTCAGGATCCCCATTAGGCATTAAAATCTGTAGGTTTTTGACAGTTTTTCTATAAAATAGCATAAAATTCATATATGACCTGCCCAAATCCTTTCTTATACTTTAAATGATCTGTAGGCCATTTGTGTCATTTATCATAAATGATATTTAAGCTCTTTGCACATTTTTAGATTTATTTATTTTTATGTATATGGATGGGTGTTTTG